TAGCGGCGCCGGCACACCGGGTTCTAGTCCCGGTTGGGGCGCCGGATTCTGTCCCAGTTGCCCCTCTTCCAGGCCAGCTCTCTGCTGTGGCCAGGGAGTGCAGTGGAGGATGGCCCAAGTGCTTGGGCCCTGCACCCCATGGGAGACCAGGATAAGTACCTGGCTTCTGCTATCAGATCAGCGTGGTGCGCCGGCCGCGGCGGCCATTGGAGGGTGAACCAACGGCAAAGGAAGACCTTTCTCTCTGTCTCTCTCTCTCACTGTCCACTCTGCCTGTCAAAAAATAAAAAAATAAAAAATAATAAAAAAAGTGGAACAGCTGGGACTCAGACAGGTGCCCATATGGGATGTTAGTGTTACAGGTTGTGGCTTGACCCACTACACCACAATGCAGGGCCTGTGGTTTGAGAACTTCTGTCTACAGCTGGTAGGAAACAGGGACATAGCTAAGGTTTCAAGTGGGGGCGATCTTGTGGGACTCAGTCCTCAACCTGTGGGACCTGAGGCTCTTGATAGGTAGATTGTGTCAGAATTGCACTGAGTTACACTGGTTCCCCTTTACCTAAGTGAGACAGTTCCTGGACCCCCAGTGGGTGTCTGAAAGCACCATATACCAAACCCCTGTAAGTGCTGTTGTGTCTGTACATGGATGCCTGAGATAAGATTCAACTGATAAATTAGGCACAGTAAAAGAAAAACAATCTCTAATAATAAAGAAGTTATTTACAACTTAACGACTTGTTTAATTCTGGAATTTTCCATTTTATGTTTTTGGGCTGTGATCCACCATAGGTAACTGAAGCTGTGAAAATTGCAACTATGTGTGGTCAGTCTCTGGATCTGTGGATAACCTCAGAAGATTCAACCAATTATGGAATTGAAAATAGTTTAAAAAATAACATCTGGGCCGGCGCCGCGGCTCACTAGGCTAATCCTCCGCCTTGCGGCACCAGCACACCGGGTTCTAGTCCCGGTCGGGGCGCCAGATTCTGTCCCGGTTGCCCCTCTTCCAGGCCAGCTCTCTGCTGTGGGCCGGGAGTGCAGTGGAGGATGGCGCAAGTGCTTGGTCCCTGCACCCCATGGGAGACCAGGAGAAGCACCTGGCTCCTGCCTTCAGATCAGCACGGTGCGCCGGCCGTGGCAGCCATTGGAGGGTGAACCAACGGCAAAGGAAGACCTTTTTCTCTGTCTCTCTCTCTCACTGTCCACTCTGCCTGTCAAAAAAAAATAATAATAATAACATCTGTACTGAACATGTACAAACTTTTTTCTTACCATCATTGTCTAAGCAATACAGTATTGCTGTATTAGGTACTTGAAGTAATCTAGAGATTAGTCATAATATAAGGGAGGGGTCTGGTGCTGTGGCTTAGCCAGTAAAGCCGCCGCCTGCAGTGCTGGCATCCCATATGGCTGCTCCACTTCTGATCCAGCTCTCTGCTGTGGCCTGGGAAAGCAGCAGAAGATGACCCAAATCCTTACACCCCTGCCACTCAGACTGGAGACCCGGAAGAAGCTCCCGGCTCCCTGCTTCGGATCGGCACAGCTACGGTCCTTGCAGCCATTTGGGGAGTGAACCAGCAGATGGAAGATTCTCTCTCTCTCTCTGTCTCCCTCTCTCTGTAACTGTTTCAAATAAATAAATCTACAAAAATATAAGGGAGGACTGCAGCTGGGTGTGTTCAGGTTATCTGCAAATACTAAGCTATTTACACCGGGGTCTTGAGCCTAGTTCTGGGGTCATAGAATTGTGGAAACCCCATAAGTATTCCCTGCAGAACTGCTTGGCGTAAGGGGAGAAATTGCCTTACATTCTGTCACAATTGTCCCAGACTTGGCTTCACCTGCTTCTCCTCCCCCTTTTGGTAAGATTTATTTGCTTATTTATTTGTAAGCTAGAGTGAGAAAATATTTGAAAGCCAAGTGAGAGTGAGAGATCTTCCTCCCACTGGTTCACTCTGCAAATGGCCGTAACAGCCAGGATCCTGGAACTCCATTTGGGATTTGCATGTGGGTGGCAGGGGCCTAAGTGCTTGGGCCATCACCTGCAGCCTTTAGTCACATTAACAGGGAGCTAGCTGGATCTGAAGCAGAGCAACTGAGTTGCCTCTAATATGGTTTGGCTGTGCAAGCTGTGGCTTAACCCACTGCACCACAACATTTGCACCTACCCATCCTTTTTGATGGACATTTAGTTAGCTTCCAATTTTTCACTACTGTGAAACACAGTGAAACTGTAATGTCACACAAGGTGGCCTTAGGGCTTTTCACTGGTTCTTTCTGGCTGTTCCCTCACCTGTTGGGATCTATTCAATGAAGTCTTCCTTGATTGCTAAATGTAAAATTGTAACCCTGCCCAACACTGTGTCTGCTTCTCTGTTTTTTCTCCTCCCTTTCACTCCTCACCACCCGACAAAGCATTACCTTGTTGATTTTCTGCTCCCCTCATCCCATGGTGGAGTGCAAGCTCCATAAAGGCAGCAGTTATGCCTTGCTCCCAGTTGAGAACTGCCTGGCACACAGTAGTCTCAAGGAGAACATCTGTGGAATGAAGAGAACGTGTGTTACTGTGGCATCCTCCTACATCATCCTATGATTTCCCATTTAAGTATATTTTTAAATGTTTATTATTTATTTTTCATCTAATTGAATGGCAGAAAAACAGGCAGAGACAGAGATTCCATTTGTTGGCTCACTCCCCAGATAGCCTCAACAGCCAGGGTGGGCCAGGCACTTGACCTGCCTCCCATGAGGTATTAGCAGTAAGCTGGGTGGGAAGCAGAGTAGCCTGACTCATTCCAATGTTCTGTTTAGAACAATGAGCCAAGATGCCCTCACCTTCCATACATTTTAAACAATAAGATGAGTTGACAACGGCCAGGGTATTTCTACTTCATGATAATCTTTTTGTTGTTGTTGTTCTTTATGAAAATAAATTTTTGAGTCAAACTCTCCCAACCTTCCTCTTTTTATCTAGGTCCAAGGAGAATGTTTCTGACAAGGTCTTAACAAGTAGGCTGGGAAGGGCTTGTGGTGCAGAGCTGGTTAAGTTGCCACATGGGATGGCTGCGTCCCATATTAAAGTATGAGTGAATCCTGGCTATTCTATTTCCAATCCAAGTTCCTGCTGGTGCTGGGAATGCCACCCATGTAGGAGTTCCTGGTCCTTGGCTTCAGCCTGGCCTGGCCCCAGCCATTGTAGCCATTTGGGGAGTGAACAGCAAATTAAAGATTCTCTCTCTCTCTCTCACTCTGACTCTGGTTTTCAAATAAATAAGTTGAATTTTTTTTTAAAAGTAGGCTTTTGGAAGCATTGTGATTGAGAATAAGAGTCTTTGTTTTAATTTTTTAAGAAGAATTTATTTGAAAGGCAGAGTTACAGAAATAGAGGGAGAGACAGAGATTCTTCGTCCACTGGTTCACTCCCCAGTTGGCTGCAATGGCCAGGGATGGGCCAGACCAGAGCCAGGAGCCTCTTCTGGGTCTCCCACATGGGTGCACAGGCCCCAGAATTTGGGCCATCTTGCCCTGCTTTCTCAAGCCCTAAACAGGGAGCTGGATTGGAAGGAGCAGACAGGACTGGAACTGCACACCCATCTGGGATGCTAGTATGGCAGGCATTGGCTTACCTGCTACACCACAGCGCCATCCCTTTCGTTTTCTTTAAAAGGTCAGAGAGACAATAAGGACAGAGGCCATGATTCATTGGTTCATTCTACAAATGCTCATGACAGCCAGTGCTTGGCTATGACAAACCCAGGAACTAGCATCTCAATGTGGGTCTCCCATGTGGGTGATGGGACCCAGGTACTGGAGATATATCCTGCTGCCTCTTGGGGGTGCACAGGAGCAGGAAGCTGGATCAAAAGCAGAGTAGCTGGGACTCTGAGTAGCCAGGCACTCTGCTGTGGAATTCAAGCAGTGACAACCACTGTGACCCACCCCCACCCTACCTAGAGAGCCTACTTGGGCTGTAAGGTTTATTCCACATGCCACATTTGACTTTTTCTTGTCTGATTGTAGCATTGAAAGCAGTCCTGGGTTTACTCCACCTGCCAACTTGGAATTGCTCCATAATGGGTGGGAGGCAAATTTTGTTCTTTGGAACCCTAGAGCCTAGCTTTGTTCTTTATGAGCCTATAGAGCCTAGAGAATACATTTGAATGAATCAGTGTGGAAGGTTGAACGTTTAGGCATCTTTCTCAAAAGAACAATCAGGTTAAATTTATAACATGTGCATAACAAAGAAACTGCAGTGCAGAAGGGGGGGTGGCACAGCTAGGAGAGATTGAATCTTTTCCATTGAAGTTGCACCTGGAAGGAATGAGGATTGCACCAACCGAGCCTTGCTTACCTCCATGACCCCATTAAAGCCCTGGATTCCCTCGCCTGAGTAATGACTGAGCCCTGGAAGAGGCAGCAGCCATCCAACATGTAGGGAGCCTTCATTTTGGAACAGGGCCACCTGCCCTTCTTCCCAATGCCGAAAGCCGATCTTTTCCCTCGCCTTCATTTCTTCATCCCCAAAGTGAATGTGGCCATCCTCGAGGTCCAGGGCCAAATAACTAACAGAAATATTATGATGACCTTTGCAGGCATCACGCGCCCTGCCAAAGAACACAGCCCTCATCTGGTTTCTCTCTTTGGTGTTGAGGGAGGTTTTCCATCGCTGGAGAGGCAGATGTTGCCCAATGGTGCCGGCTATGACCCGGCATCTATAAACATTCCCTTGAGCAATCCCAAAAAAACTTTCTCTCCCTGCCTGAGAATACGTCGGGGGGAAAAAGATTCATGGCATGTCTCTCTCTCCAATACTTTCCTTTGACCTCCAAAAAAGAACGGAACTGGACAGGATATTGGGAGAGAGGAGGTCGAGGGGGACAGGGGGAGGGGTCGAGGGGGAGTCCAGCTCCAGTTTGGGGAAATCCAGCTCGCGTTTTGCCTGTCGCTCAGCGGTGCAGGGTCCAGCGGAGGCAGAGCCCCAGCTTCACTCCCTGAGGTCTGTCCTGGGGAGACACTGCTGCTCCGGGGGGCTGACCTGGCGGGGAGTGGCCGCGCAGTCCGCTCCGGCGCGGCTTTGTGCGCGCAGCCGCTGGCCCCTCTGCTCCCGGGTCTGCCCCCCGGGACGCCCCCCACCCCCTGGCCGCCCCAGTCATGCGGCTCTACCTGCCTCTCTGCCGCGGACCTTTGGCAAGCAGCCGCCCACCCCGGGGGCCCGGGCCCTGACCGTGCCGGGAGCTGCTAGGTGTCCACCGTGGGCCCGCCCGCCCCCTCGCGCCCGCCAGGGCCCGGGGCTCCAAAGTTGTGGGCAAGAGCGCCAGTTGCAAAGTTTGCCCGAGGGCTGGTGCAGGCTTGGAACCGGGGGACGTGCGCTGCCCTGCAATCGGGAGCCGGCCGGTGGTGAGTTGGGGCTGGGGCAGATGGCAGGGGTGCCGGGCGTCAGCCCTCGGACGCCGAGGCCCAAGGAGTTGCGGGGGCCCACGCTCGCCTTGGGTTGGACGCGGCCGATGCTCGGCATCCGCTGCTCCCGGGCGGCCACAGGGGTGGGCCCGCTCCCCGCCGCGACCCCTACCCCGGGCCGCTCGGGGCGCTTTTGTGGTGGGTGGTAAACAATGCCCCCGGCAGGGGAATCGCGCAGCCCGCTCGGAGGCCCCGCCGCGGCGCGGGTGGGGGAGCTGGGGTCCGGCCTGGGGGAGGTCCCTGAGCTGACCAGAGATTTCGCAGCCTTCGGGGGTCCAGGCGCCGCGGGCGGGGGAGACAAGGATGGCCGCAAGCCGCGGAGGGGAGCCTCGGTGTCGCCCCCTTCCCCGGTCCAGGAAAGCCCCCTGCATGCTCCCTCCCTCCCTCCGCCGCGACTTCCAGAGCCACCCGGCCCGGGGCGGGAGAGCCCGGGGGAGGGAGTTTGCAGGGGCGAAAGTTTCGTGGCGGAGGAGGTAGGGGCGTCTGCAAGGGTGGACTGGCGGGGCGCGGGTCTCGGGGAAGGGAGTGTAGGGGTGCAAGTCGTGTTCTGTCAAAGTGACTTCAGACGCTGTTTTACGAGCGCTCGGGCTGTCCGCCCGCGCTGGCCCCGCGTTGGCCTGCGTCCCGTTCCGGCGGGCCCTGGGGCGGGAGGTGCGCGGGGCCGGCAGCCTGGACCCGGCCGTGCCGCACGTGAGCGCCGTCCCGCCAGGGTGCAGGGCTGCGGCCGGCAGGGCAGGGCTCTCCGCAGAGCTCTCCCCCTCTCCCTCGGTCCCTGCCTCCTCGCCGGCCTCCCCACCCCGTGTCCTATCTCCTCCTCTTGAGGGACTCTGCAGTCCGTGCTTCTCCCTGAACTGGCCCACGCCAGGAACCTTGCCACGGGCACGGGGGAACCCACGCGAGGGCACTAAGGACCCAGGAGAGGAATTCGTGGGACTTCCAGAGAACAGTGAGAGCTCCAGCTAGGAGCCCCCAACCCCACCCCCACGCGTCTTCCTCTCAAATTAACCAACCATTACGCATCGGTCACTTGGCGGCCTCTTCCCCTCCTCCCGGGCTCCACGCTCAGGCTCTCTAAGAGCTGCACCAGGCATCGCGGTAATGACCGGCTAATGCACAAGTGCTGGCGAGGCCATCAGGACCTCCGTTCTAGGGAACCGCGAGCCTCAGAGCGGCGCGGGGAGCTGCGCGCTGCGCCCTGCGCCCTGGACGCCGCCTCGCGCCCTCTGCCTCCCAAGCCCGGTCCAAAGCAAACGGAAAGCGTCGCTTCATTAGGCCTGGTGGATGTTTATGTGGCATACATATCTGGAAAGGTGGCCTCTGTACCAGCAAGGGTTGTTTAGAGCACGCGAGGAATTTACGACTACAATTGAAGGGGGGGGGGTATGGAAGCGGGGCGAGGTTTCTTTCCAAGAACGAAAAGACTGAGGTGGGGATATTTTTGGTGTTGGTTACACGGGTTCAAACCCAAGCCTCCTCCTTCTCCCATAAAAGAATCTCCATTAGGTTGTCAACCTCTCTCTGTCCTTCAAGCCAAGTTGTGGTTTCCATTAAACTTAGGAATGAAGATTTACGGGAAGTGGCACGCAGTGTCGCTTTCTCTCCGCACGGATTCGGAGCCCAGACGCAGAAGCCTGGGACTCCCACTTGCTGCTTTAATGAGTAAACCATTGCTGCCCGCGCCGGCCAGAGGTGTGGGTCTTCATGGTCCTGCCCCTTTGTCTCCCCTCTTTCTCCAGTCTTCTTTATCTGCGTGTCCCTCCCCTCCCCCACTTTCTTTTCTACGTGTCTCCTTCCCTGCACGTCTAATTTCTCCTTCTCGTCCTTGGAGTTTCTACCTTTGGTCTTCAGCTGTTTGATCCCCGTTGTCTTTTTTGTATTCTAGCTTTATTGCTATAGATTTATTCCCCTTCCTCAGTGTTTGGGCTTTTTGTTTTTATTTTTCCTTTTTGGACATTTTCTTCCTTCTTAAGCCTTTTCCTTTTCTTCCTCCACAAGTGTTTTATGCCTTTCTTGGAAGGTCCGGGGCCATCCCCTCTCCATTTTAACTTCTTCCTTCCCCTTTCTTGGCCCTTTTTTTTTTTTCTTGCTCTCTGCAGGGCAGCAGGCTATTTTACATATGGAAGGAGGCTTTGGCTAAATCTGCTGGCATTCTAGTGAGTTTCCCTGAACAGCCTTTCCCCTGGTGAGGGCTCTCACACTTCCTGTGTTAGAAAACTATCTAGGAACAGCAAGCAGTCCTTGGTCTCTCCCTTCAGATGTAGAGCCTAGTGCCGGGGGACACTGCCAGGTGTACCTTTTAAAGAGAAATGTGTTAAGCCTTGTTTTTTCTCAGTCAAGTGCGAGAGGCTTTAAGTTCTGCAGAGCTGAATGCAGGGACAGTGAAGCCAGAATCTTGCCACTAGCTTTCTGTTTGCAGATGATCATTTTTTGGGGGCCCCTACTGGTAGCAGAAAGGATTCTAATGTAATTTAAGATTGACTGTGGGCTGGATGGCTACCCCGGTTCAGCCACTTCCTGCTCAGGGGATTTGGGGAGATAGCCAGCTGAGGAGGGATGGAGGTAGGAGAGAATTTTCTGACAGGGTGCTGTCAGTATTGTAGGGGTAGTTTAGGATGCCAGCTTTTCACTTTCTGGGGAAGATGATTGTTTTTGCTCATTGTATTAAGAAAAAAGTTCTTAGGCAAGACTGTCATCAATGGCTTCGTAAGCTCAAGTAATATTGAAGCAAAAATTCTGAACCTGTTGGCCGATTGCATATTGAGCAGACCTTATACAAAGCATGATCAGCAGTGCTCACTCTGAGAGCTGCTCTTGCTGCTCAGTGCTCCATCTGCAACCTTTTATTCCCTGCTGGCTTTTTGTGCCTCAGATCATGCATAGGCCTCTTAATCTCTTGGCCTATAATTTTAAATTTCATAAGCTTTAGTTGCCTATGTTGTAGGACATTTGGTGGGGGGACATTCTGTTGTTGATGAAAAGATCTGTTAACTGAGCATGTTTTGCATCTCAGAGTTGATTTCCTACCCCCCTTCTAGGACAAGAATTCACAGGATGGTGTCAATTAATTGCACATGGTTCCCCCTCCTGGGCTCACCATGTATACTTAATAACAGTCAACAGTCTTGTTTTTTGGCTCAGACTGTTATCCTGTAGCCATTCCTGTAGCACTGAGAGTCTTGAAGATTTGGGTTAGAACAAAACTGTGAGAAATAGACAGTCCTCAGAAATGAAAGATGGGAGTGGAATTAGGGAAGAGAGTACAAAGGGAGATTTAACTGTTTTGAATGTGGCAGTTCATCGGAGTTGGAGGAGAGTATTCATTTGTAAAATACCTTTTTGTATAAGTGAAACTCTTTATAATCAAACACTCAGGTTGGAAGTGGAGCATTTAATAATGTTTATAAATTAAAAAGGAAAATTACTCTCAGGAATCTTTGACAATTCCCACATTTAAAAGTGGACCTGTTTAATAGGCTGGTCCTCATCTTTTCCCCCATACAGTCTAAGAAAAGCCTGCTGCTTCTACTCCAAGAGTTCTGAAGCCCTTGGGATGCTTAGTTTCTCACAAAAGGTTACATTTCATCAGTAAAGCCAGGGCTGATAAAATTAGGGTCTTTTGGGAGCTCTTATTTTCTCATTGTCCCCGATTCTTTGGCTGGGTGGTACCCAGCAGTTTTTTCTCCTGCAGTTGGGTTTTTCAAGGGTCATTGGCCTCTTTCAGGAACTCATAAAAAGGCTGTTACCATTTAAAGAGTCCACATCTTCCCAATCCACGTTGCTCATACGTCTTCCATTTCTCCAGCAGGCTCCTTTTTTTAGTAGATAAGGTTTGCATGGTAAACATTATCTTAATTACAAGTCTGAATTTCTAAAGCACTTCAATTTAAAAATGTAAAAGAATATAGAAGAGACAGATCCATTTATATACTACTTTCAAAAGCAGATCCCATGACACCCTCTGGTATATCCAGATTACTTGCCTACATATATGAATTTTAATTTTCATGGCTGATTGTAATACTTAGATTGTGTGCTCTTAATACTTTTTCTAGTAATACAATCTTGATAAAAGATAGAAAGCACACTTATCCTGGTATTGTTAAATTTCTATCAATTGAAATGAGTTGCTTTCATAATGAAAAAGCATTCTTACAAAGATAATTGTTGATTTTTCTGGAGATTAGAATTGGAATGACTTTTGTTTTCTAAAAAAGCAGTGGTCTTTGGAGAAAATAGCCTACAATTTTTTAACAGCCAACGAGTTACTAATGGAAGCCAAGACATTTTTGGCTTTTTTTAGAAAAATGGGAGAGCAGTAAGCATAGATGCCAAGAATTCAAGTGAAATATTCTCTGTTTGTATTTAGTACAGATTCATCAAAATGTTTGTCATGCAGTTAATGTTATCATTAATGTCTATTTAAAAATTCTTTTAAAGTGCTTAAAATTTATTTGTTTGAAAGGGAGACAGAGAAGCAGAGAGAAAGAGCCCCTTTTTTTTCCTCCTATTTCCTTCCCCAGATGCCCATAGTGCCTGGGGCTGGGCAGGACCTCACTTAAGCAATCTGGATCTCAGTCTGGATCTCCCCCATGGATGGCAGAAACACAAAAAGTGAACCAGGTCTGCATTAGCAGGAAACTGGAGTCAGGAGCTAGATCCAGAGCTGGGTCCTGGGACTGAACACAGGCACTCCTAGTTGGATGTGGTATCCGGAATCTTAACTACCAGGCCAAACCCCTGCTCTAAAACTCTTAGAGGCACAGTGCTGCGACTCAAGTGTGCTCTGAGAACTCTCACTGTAGTGTATCACTTCTTGTGTGTGACTGGGAACAAAAGCTCTGTAGGATATGGCTGACCATGGGTTACATTGGTCCCATGATATTGGTAACCAGCACTTGCCTTGATTCCACCTGCTCTTTTTTTTTTCTTTTTGCTCCTATTTATGAAGCCTTTTATGTATGTGCCTGTGCTAAACCTTTACCTATACCTCATTTTATTCTCATAACCTAATGATGTCCATACAATTAGGCTTCCTAGTCTGTTGCACATATGGGAGCTGAAGAGAGCAAGGAATTTGTCAGAAACACTGGTTAGGGATGTTTCTTTTTAAAAGATTTTATTTGCTTACTTGAAAGGCAGAGTTACAGAGGGAGAAGGACAGAGAGAGAGCGTACATGAGTGCACTTCCATCCATTGGTTCACTCCCCAAATGGCCATAACAGCCAGGGCTGGGCCAGGCTGAAGCCAGGAGCTTCATCTGGGTCTCCTACATGGGTGTTGGGGCCCAAGCACTTGGGGCCATCTTCCACTGCTTTCCCAGGCACAACAGCAGGGATCTGGATCAGAAGTGGAGCAGCTGGGACTGGGACTGAACTGGTGCCCATTTGTGATGCTGGCACTGTAGGCTGTGACTTAACCCACTGCACCACAATGCCCGTCCCAGGAATGTTTCTGAACTGCAAACTAAAGTCTGTTTCCAAAGCCCATCTTACTGTGCCACCCACCTCCCCACTTCAACCTCAGATACCACAAGGATGCTCTGTAGGAGCTCATTGAAACCTCAAAACAACTTTATTTCAGATGAGGAAATGTGGGTTCAGATACGTAGTTTGCTGAAAGATGCACAGCTGGTGACCACAGGTTCACACACAGGGCTTTCTGCTGTGAGACCATCCTCTGCCAGTAAACCATCAGTGGGGCTCAGGATTTATGTGGATCAGATCAGTAGAACAAAAATAAAATTTGATGATAATAAAGATCTGTCAACATTTTACTTCGCCAAGGAATTACCTACCTTTACACAAAAGAAATTACTTTTTTTAGAAAGATTAATAACTATTTTTAAAAACTTTTATTGTATTTGAAAGGCAGAGAGAGACATGACAAAGGTCTCCCACTTACTGGTTCTCTCCATAAATACCAGAACAGCTGGGACTGGGCCAGGCAGAAGCCAGGTGCCAGGGGCTCTGGGTCTTCCATGTGGGTGGCAAGGTCCCAAGTACTTGAGCCATCATTCTACTGTGGCCATCTGGGGAGTAGACCAGCAGGTGGAAGATTCTCTCATTCTCTCTTTCAAACAAACAAACAAACAAACAAATAAATCTATTTTTTTTTTAAATCCTCAGCTAGTCTGCTGTCATACTTGTGACTCTGATCTTCAGAGACTGTCCCTGTATCTGTATGGTGAGATTTTAGTTTGCTCACTGCTTTGCCTGTTTCGGGTCAGGGTTTTCAAAAGAAAATTGGTGATGACTTCTGGTCAATGCGCTTTCATTTTCTCTTTTCTTGTTTCTCTTTCAAATTAACAGCTGTTTTCCTAGAATGCTTTACTTAGCATTCTGAATATCTATCTCGTTTCTTTTTTAGCACATATAGCGTATAGTTGGTTTTTTCCCCCTAAAGTTATATTTAATTTGTGTGAAAGGCAGAGTTTCAGAGAGAAAGGCCTTCTACCCACTGGTTCACTTTCCAGATGGCTACAATAACCAGGGCTGGGCCAGGCTGAAGCCAGGAGCCAGAAACTCCATCTGGTTCTCCCATGTGAATGGCAGAGGCCCAAGTACTTGGGTCATCTCCTGCTGTTTTCCCAGACACACTAGCAGGGAGCTGAATTGGAATTGGAGCAGCCAGTGCTCATGGGATCCCAGTGTTACAGTGCTGATCCCTTATCTTGAGACATCTGGGACCAATGGTAGAAGAGATTTTTAGAACCAGCAGTCTTTAGATTCAGTTGAGTGAAAGAAAAAAGAGAGACATCCCCTTCTTTTACACAGCAGGTTCTCAACAGGTGTTAGACTATGGGTCTTACTTGTAATCTAATCTGCTGATGGTTGCTCTGGAGATTTTGTGCCATTTTTGTGTATTGTGGGTTGTTAGATTGAATGTATTAATATTGGATCTCCAGATGCTGGCATTGTGGTATAGCAGGTAAAAACTGCTGATAGGCACTGCTTCAAGTCCTGGCTGCTTCAGTTCTTTTCTCTTGTTGTTAAGGATTTACTGATTTATTTGAGAGGCAGAGTTACAGAGACAGAGAGAGAGGTCTTCCATCTGCTGGTTCACTCCCCAGATGGCTGAAATGGCCAGAGCTGCGCCGATCCAAAGCCAGGAGCTTCTTCTGGGTCTCCCACGTGGCTACAGGGGCCCAAGCTCTTGGGCCATCTTCAGATGCCAACCCCACAGGCAGAGGCTTAGCTTACTACACCACAGTGCCGACCCTTGCTCCACTTCTGATCCAGCTCCCTGCTAATGTGCCTGGAAAAGTAGTGTAAGATGGCCCAAGTGTTTAGGCCCCTGCACCCAAGCGGAAGACCTGGATTTGACTCCTGGCCAGGCCCAGCCCAGGCTTGTTAAGGCCATTGTGGAGTGAGTCAGTGGATGAAAGACCTCTCTCTGTCTTGCTGTAATCCTGACTTTCAAATAAATAAATGAATCTTTTTTTTTTTTTTTTTTATTTTTTTGACAGGCAGAGTGGATAGTGAGAAGAGACAGAGAGAAAGGTCTTCCTTTTGCCATTGGTTCACCCTCCAATGGCAGCCACGGCCGGCGCACCGCACTGATCCGATGGCAGGAGCCAGGTGTTTATCCTGGTCTCCCACGGGGTGCAGGGCCCAAGCACTTGGGCCATCCTCCACTGCCTTCCCGGGCCACAGCAGAGAGCTGGCCTGGAAGAGGGGCAACCGGGACAGAATCTGACGCCCCGACCGGGACTAGAACCCGGTGTGCCAGCACCGCAAGGCAGAGAATTAGCCTAGTGAGCCGCGGTGCCGGCAATAAATGAATCTTTAATTAAAAAAAAAAAAAAGGTTCTCTAGGGAGTAGAGTTTTGTGGATATGCAGCCCTCTCATTTTCTAGCTTTACCAGCATACCGTCGGACATCAGCCCTGCCTGTGTGGGGATGTGCTCAGGAAATTAGGAAATAATTTTTAAAGCACCCCAATGTGTAAAAGTTCGGATTTAAACTTTGAATCACATAGATATGGCTTCTTACATAGCTGCATACCTTATTTGACAAATTTCCTACTTAGTCGTCATCATAATTAAAGCAACTATATAGGGAAGCCAAGGTTCAATGGATAGCTTAGTATTTCTTTGTCTATTGTATTTTCTGCTAAACACATTCTCTAATTATTAATAATAAATGTTCTATTTCAACTTGGAGAATGCATAGGAAACAAGGCTCACTTGCAATGTGTTTTGCTATTTCAGACCAAACCCTTGTGACTGAGCGTGACCACTCCTCCGGATTCTCCTCAGCAGCGAGCCTGTCCGAAGGACCAATGACTGTGTTTCCCGTGCTCTTTCATTTCTTCCTCCTGCGTAGCCATGTCGCGATCTCGCCATGCCAGGCCTTCCCGCTTAGTCAGGAAGGAAGATCCAAGCAAAAAGAAAAACAGCCAACTAAAGAAGACATCCAAGACAGCCAACAAAAATGCGGCATCGGTCAAGACTCTGAGCCCTGGAAAACTAAAGCAATTAATTCCGGAAAAAGATGTTAAGAAAAAAACAGAAAGCAAACCACCTGTGCCAGTCAGAAGCCTTCTGACACGAGCTGGAGCCGCCCGCATGAATTTGGATCGGACTGAGGTTCTTTTTCAGAACCCGGAGTCCTTAACTTGCAATGGGTTTACCATGGCTCTCCGCAGTACCTCTCTCAGCAGGCGACTCTCCCAACCCTCCATGGTAGTCTCAAAACCCAGGAAAATTCCGCCTTCTAAAAGTGTAGAAAAGCAGCCTGAATGTGATTATAAGGTACTCACTGACAAGGGAGTGCAGCACCCAGACAGTGATTCAGTCCCAATGCAAGAGGCCCCCATCCCTCCTGATGTAGGGAATCTAATTGGTGTGCAAAATGCATCTTTAGTTAAAAGTGAGAGCCAGGAGACAACCCAGTGTTGGTCCCAAATAGCTGAAGATTCCAAAGTAAATCTCCCTACTCCCAGTGGCCCTGCACCAGAGATCTTTTCTGGGCAGTTGGAAGGGGCACGTTGTGGGGAAAGACTCTTTTCTGAAGACACATTGAATGATATCAGCAGCTCTCCTAGAGTGTTTGCTCAGGACACTGGGTGTGCTCCTTTGCCCCAAAGAACAGCCCCTGAAGTTACCTCTGAAAGAACCCCCAGTATTCAGTTAGAAGACTTGGGTTCACGAGTAGAATCTCTTAAGCTATCTGATTCATACCTGGATCCCATCAAAAGTGAACACAATTGCTGCCCCACTGCCAGTTTTAATAAGGTGGTACCTGAATTGGACCTGGGAAACTTCTTGTCTCTTGGTGGATCTATATATCCCACTGCATTATTAAAATTCCTCTTGGCACGCTCAGGACTTGGTGCTAACCCAGATTATCAAGAGGCCTTCAAGGCTATCCTAGGTGAAGAGAAAGTTCTTGATGGGACTTCTGTTGTAGGACAAGCCTTTAATACTATCCCACATCAATGGGGATTTCCTGGTGCTAACCCAGTTCATGGTGAGGCCCTGGGCGAAACCCTAGTCCCACCAGAAATTCCTGGTGCTATTCCAGTCCAAGGAGACATCTTTGGTACTGTCCGAGGTCAACAAGAAGCCCTTGATGTCAGTGAAGGTGCTGTCCTGGACCTATCTACCTTCCGTCCTTTTCCTCCAAACCCAAATTCTACCTACTGTGCTCTCCCCGAGAGGCCTGACCCCCTGAGCACAGTCTCACATGGGCCTGAGGTCCAGGGTGCTACACAGATTTTGCCTTTGGGCTCAGGACAAACTCCTCAACCACTCTCAAACTCAGAGTTAAATTCTATACCTCCAGAAATGGCAATCAGCAATGTAGAACATGAGAAGCAGGTTCATACCAGCTTTCCTCCAGCTAACACTCAGGGTTTTGCAAATACCCCTGAGGACGGACTCTACCATGCTTTAAGGGATGCTGTCCAACTCTCCCAGGCTGCTCCCAGCACCTGGGAAGGAGGGCGCCCCCAGGTCAGCATGGCCAGCTCCATCGATGTTGTCCACACTGCTGGAGTGTCAATTCCAGTGTCAGTTGCCAGTGCCTCCTCTTCCTTTACAACCCTGTTACCTACTTTGGAAAAGAAGAAACGAAAGCGCTGTGGGGTGTGTGAGCCCTGCCAACAGAAGACCAACTGTGGTGAGTGTACTTACTGCAAGAACAGGAAGAACAGCCACCAGATCTGTAAGAAGAGGAAGTGCCAGGAGCTGAAAAAGAAGCCATCCGTCCTTGTGCCTGTGGAGGTAAGGACACCGCCGGGCGGCTTGGAGGCACACATGTCACACCTGTGGCATGTAGCACAGTGATGCGCAGAGGGACAGTTTGCCGCAGTACCACTGACATCCTTGTTGTTTGGTAAAATGCTGCTCCAAGTTATCTATAGGAATTTGTGGTCTTTCCTGAAGTATGTCTTGTGGAGTGATGCCTTGGCCTATTTTTAGAATTTGCCCCAGAAAACTAGAATATACAGTTTTTCCATTATAGGATTTGATGAAGACATAGTGAAATTATATGAAGTGTGGTTTTCCAAAGATTTCCACTGTGCCTCAATTTGGCTAGTTGCTTGTCTTTTTTGGAAGTTACAAATTTAAAAAGTAAGAGTAGAACAAATTCATTAACTCCCTTGCAAGCCTGAAAAACCAGAGGAATTAAACTTCTTTCCTTTTGAAGGAACAAAATCATCTGCATCCTTAAACTTGAGACTTTCCGAGAGGCATAACAGCGATAATCTTCCATCACACCATGTGGCAGGTCCCTTCTACCTACTCTAATTCTTATGGTGTTGGGACCAAGTGAAAATGGTTGTCAACTCCAAAGTCATATGCAAACATTAGTTGTTCTTTCCGTTCGTGAACTGTGGATAGTAAAATGTTGTTTTAAAGATTTCATACAGCTTGATCACAACTCCAACTGTTCCTTTTCAAACTTTTGAAACTCTTCTTACCTGGAGTATGATTTGAGATTACTCATGTGAAGTCAAGATTTTTGCATCTACTGTGAATATAGAGTGGAACCCATTGACTTAAAAGTACATAAAAGCAGGTGGGCCATCCTCTACTGCGTTCCCAGGCCATAGCAGAGACCTGGATTGAACGAGGAACAGCCAGGACACAAACTGGTGCCCATGTGGCATGCTGGTGATGCAGCTGGACGTTTAACCTATTATACCACAGTGCCGGCCCCTGTAATCTTTTATTAATTCAACCTTTCCAATTTTGTTCTTGGCTTACTTATGGGTCTCAAAATGCTTGATTTCCTATTTGAGCCACTGCAAACCAGATACCAGGCAGTTAACCAATCATGTATTGATGGACATTGGAGATGTTTCTAAAATATGTTATTACTGCAGTGGATAGTCTTCCTTTACTCAAGTCATTTCACATAGGTGGGAGTAGATTCAACACAGCCAGTTACAGAATGGTTTAGCAACACCTAAAACAGTAGCCCTGTCTCTAACAGATCTAACAGAGAGACCATCACTCTAAGCTACTGGCTGTATCTTTGCTAACTGACTACTTGCCTTAAACACTATCTCCAGTAGGTATAAACACATGTGTTATGTTTCCCCCTTTCATATTGCATATTTGATGCAGTGCTCACCACCTACGTGGTCACAACAGATAGAAAATTCCGTCCTCTTTGATACCTCCCTGTGTCACCCCTTTAGCTTCTCATGTTCTACAATATCTGAGTACTTCTTTCCATTTTATTGGTCATGCTATGCCGGCTGTTATTTCTTACTCGGACATTTTCTGTATTCTATTTTTTAAAAATATTTTTATTTTATTTATTTGAAAAGTAGAGTTACAGAGGAAGAATGAGAGACAAAGAGAGATCTTCTATCTGCTGGTTTACTCTCCAAATTTCTATCCGCTGGTTTACTCTCCAAATGGCCACATTGGCCAGGGCTGGGCTAGGCCAAAGCCTGAAAGCCTGAAACTCCAACCAGGTCTCCATGTGGGTGCAGGAACACAGGCACTTGGATCATGTTCTGCTGCTTTCCCAGGCTCATTAGCAGGGAGCTGGCTCAGAAGTAGAGCAGCTGGGACTCGAACAGGGGCCCATATGGGATGCCAATGTTGCAGGTGGTGGTTTAATCTGCTGCACCAATATGCCAGCCTCAACAAATATTCACTGCACTACTTAGGTTATGCAGTGGGATATAGTCTTGGGCATAACAATTACCAGGAAAGTTGTAAGTTGAGAAATTGGTGCAGTTCTTGTTTTGATTCTCCTACCTAAATACCTTTATAAATGTGATAGTTTTCACTCAAAATAAAACAGATGAAAATAGATCAAAGCTTGCAGTGCCTTCCAGTTATAGATAGATGAAGCTTTGATTCATTAGCGTGGAAAGCACACTTGGCCTGTCTTGTGCCTACATGTCTCTTACAGTTGTGGTTGTAGCAGTGTCCAGCTAGTTACATTTTCCCAGCTCACAGCCCATGTTCTTGCCTCAGTCTCCATGCCTTTGGTGCATTTGACCCTGTTTGACAAAATGCCACTCATTCACTCACCCCTTACTGTGTATGCATGTGTATTCCCCAGATACCGTAGCAAGTGACTTTGTTTCTCTAAGTGCTTGGTTGGATTGACATAATTACAAGTGCTTCATAAATGCTTGTTCATTAAATGAAAAGAGAAGTCAAGGTGTTGTTTTTTTGTTTTGTTTTGTTTGGTTTTGTTTTTTTTTAAGAGTTGTTTATTTACTTGATAGAGTTACACCAAGAGAGAAGGAGAGGCAGAGAGAGAGAGAGAGAGAGAGAGGTCTTCTACCTGCTGGTTCACTCCCCAGTTGGCTGCAACGGCTGGAGCTGTGTCAATCTGAAGCCAGGAGCCAGGAGCTTCTGGGTCTCCCATGCGGGTACAGGGGCCCAAGGATTTGGGCCGTCTTCCACCTCTTTCCCAGGCCATAGCAGAGACCTGGATCGGAAATGGAGCAGCCAGGACTCAAATTGGCAGCCATATGGGATGCCAGCAATGCAGGTGGCCCCTTTACCCACTACACCACAACACCAGCGCCAACCCAGTCAAGTTTTTTAAAAATGTTTATTAATTTGAAAGAGTAATAGAGAGAGGGAGAGATGAGAGAAACAGAAATATTCCATTTGCTGGATTGCTCCCCAAAACTGTGCACAACAGCCAGGTCTGAGCTGGGCCAAAGCGAGGAGCCAGGGACTCCATCCTGGTCTGCTGCATTAGTGGCAGCAGCCAACTTCTGTTTTCCCAGGCACCTTAGCAGAAAGCAAAATCAGAAGCAGAGTAGCTGGGACTCCAGCCAGCACTCCAATTCAGGATGCCGATGTCACAAGGAGCTGTTTAATCCGCTGTGCCACCAGGCCCCAAATAATGAGGTTCATAAATTTCAATAGATGTTGGCGTGTGGTTTACATCTGTAACTCTGACAAACAAGTGTGGTCACTGTTGTCAAGTCCCATCAGTGTAGGAAAAACCAATATTTGTTGATGGATGTTGGTCCTAATAACCTAACCATCACATTCTTTATTTTAGAAACATCTCTCATTTTGGCTTAATTTCAGATTTATAAAAAACTGCAGGAGTAGTACTAAGAATTATTTTTCATCCAGATTGCCCCAGTGATGACATTTTGTTGTATTGCTTCATTACTTTATCACATTTTTCCTTTTTTTTTTTTTAATTTATTCATTTTCAATTTGTTTGAAAGGAAGAAAGAAGGGCTGATGCCATGGCTTGGCAAGTTAAGCCACTGCCTGTGGCACAGTCATCCCATATAGGTGCAGGTTCAAGCCCCCACTGCTCCACTTCTGTCCCAGCTCTCTGCTAATATGCCTGGGAAAGCAGCAGAGCATGGCCCCTACACCTACATGGGAGACCAGGAAGAAGATCCTGGCTCCTGGCTTCAGCTTAGCCCATACTTGGCTCAGCCCCTGCCATTGTGGGAGTGCGCCAGCAGATAGAAGACCTTTCTGCATTTCAAATGAACAAAATAAATCTTTAAAAAACAAAAAAAAGAAGAAAAATAGGAATAGAGAGATAGAGGGGGATATATCTTCCACTCTACTCCATAAATGCCCACAACAGCCAGGGCTGGGCCAGGCCTAAGACAGGAGCTGGGATCTCAATCTGGTCTCCCATGTGAGTGGCAGGAACCCAACCATTTGAGCCATCATCTGCTGCTTCCTTGGGTATGTGTTAGCTGAAAGTTGGAATTGGAAACAGAACTGGAACTTAAGTCAGGCTCTCCAGTATGGGATGTGGGTGTCCTAAGCAGGGTCTTTTTTTTTTTTTTTTAAGATTTATTTATTTATTTGAAAGGCAGAAATATAGAGGAGGGGGGAGAGGGGAAGAGAGGAAGGGAGAGGGGGAGAAAAGAGAGAGAGAGAGAGAGAGAAAGAAAGAAAGGAAAAGAGTTCTTTTATCCATTGGTTCACTCCCCAAATGGCCACAATAGCCAGGACTGGGCTAGGCCTAAGCCAGGATCTGGAAGCTTCTTCCATGTCTCCCACATGGTTGCAGGAGCCCAAGTTCTCGGGCCTCCTCTGCTGTTTTACCAGGTGCATTAGCAGGGAGCTGGGTCAGAAATAGAGCAGCTGGTACTGTAGGTAGAGGCTTAACTTCCTTCCCCACAGCAGTGGCCCCCCAGCTGGGTCTTAACTGCTATGCCAAAAGCCCACTCCTTCCTTTCTAAATTAATTGAAAGGAGGGCCAGTGTTGTGTCACAGGGATTGGGCTACTGCCTGAAACACCAGCCTCCCAAATGGGCACCAGTTCAAGTCCTGGTTGCTCCATTTTTGATCACTCCTTGCTAATACACTGGGAAAACAGAGGACGATGGCCCCGGGTGCTTGGGTCCTTCCCACCCATGTGGGAGACCCAGATGGAGTTCCAGCTTCCTTGCTTTGGCCTGGTCCAGCCCCAGCAGTTGAGGCCATTTGGAGAGTAAAACAGCAGATGGAAGATCTTCCTCTCTGCCTTTTACTTTCTGTGTAATTCTGCCTTTCAAATAAATAAATAAATTGCAAGTAATTTTACAGACATGCTACTCCATTACCCCTAAATATCAGACAGTGTATTTCCTAAAAACATGAATGTTAGTTATTAATATTATCAAAATTAGAAAATTAACATTATTACCTAATCCATAGAAATTTTTTCATATTTTGCACTTGTTCTGTAAGAAAGTATCTTCTTGGTCTCCTTTAATCTGGAACAGTTCTTCAAAATAATTTTTATTTATTTGAAAGGCAGAGCAACAGAGAGT